GACCCAAATACGGATGAAGTTAAAGGAGAAGAGAAGAGAAAATGACAATGCAAATGCAGTTCAAGAAAATGAAGCAGTTTCACAGAAAGACTCAGATAAGAATGAAGTAGGAGAAGAGCAAGATAAAAAAAAAAGATTAAAGAAAAGAGCTCAACCTAAACATGTCAAAAAAATGGAGAAAGTTGCCAGTGGTGCCTAAGAGATTCACAATAACTGTGAATCAAGAAATGGGAAAAAAGTCTTCTGCCACACGGTTCCACAAAACCTAGGCAACCATGGACCAATGTTTTGTATAACAGTTTCCGCAAAAAAATCCTTGTTGTACCCTTTGTTGTAGCCAGCACATAAAACGTCTTCACAGCAGGAAAATTACCAGTCCTTATTTAAATATAAGTGCTGTTTGTACATTCCCTTCCTGCAGTGCCAAATACTTTTTAAAAAGGAAGGGAGCCAGTGGGAGACAACCAGGTCAAGATATCTGTGCTACAAACAGGAACAGTGGCACACAAAACAAATGAGACAAAATTCAGACCAGCCGCAAAAACCCGGAGAGGGAGAATTGCAAAAGCTCTACATAAAGGAGTGAGCCAAGTGTTCTACAGTAAACTCCAAAAAACACCAGTTGCTGAACTGATTTCAGGGAACATAACCCAATGTTTGAACAAAAATGTGCTTAAGGTGATTAGTTCAGAGGTTAGAAAAGGGACAAGAATTCATGATGATGTTTTCATGGAGATGTACCTAACTCAAAAGATCATGAAGGAATGTGACTTCCATTTCCACAAGATGCCTGGCTACATACAGCACTTACAAGTTGACCCCTTTGGTGTACACATGTATACAGAAACTGGAATAAGCATAACAGTGCAACACCTCAGAAGGAAGACCCCTACCTCCCCTCCCAGTCTGTGAAATGCTGACCAACGAACACTGTACCACCAATCACATTCTGGCTAATGCACTACTCCCAATTGTTCTTCTGTCAGGGAGAGCATTGAAAACTTCTTGGACAGGGCCTATGCTATTTGTTCAAAACTAAAGACATGGAAAGAGATAAAAATGTTTACAGTGCTTCACATATGCTCTGCACATGCTCAAAGCTGTTGCTCAGTCTATTGGGAGAAAAACAAAAGACAAAGTATTAAAGGAGTTTGCAATATTTGCATTTGCCAGGGTGCAAAATCCTACAAAAAAGAGCAAGATTCCTGACGTGGAAGAGACAGAGAAACTGGAAGACAGTCCTGTAGCTCAGGAGGAAAGTGATGAAGATAGAAGAAATGCACACACGATTGTAGGCAAATCTCCCTTCACCTATGAATTCAAGAAGGTCTTGAAGGAGGTGCAAGGAGAGTATGAAAAAGAAGATGAAGAAAATCCATACTTCTGCCCAGTTCTTTTGAAAACTACCTGGGCCTTTTCCCCCTATGGAGTGGTCTATGTGACAAAGAAGATGACACCTTTGGCCCAAGCAAAACAAGGGACACAAACTGCCATGTGGAGAGATGGTTTGGAATAGTGAAACATTCCATTCTAAAAAAGCAGAGGAGACTGAGACCAGGAAACAAGGGGTCCTTTGTCAGGAAAATGTAAATGCCTCTCTAAACAGGGTGGATACAAATAACACATGTGTAAATCTGTGTCATAACTTCTCTGAAGCATTACTCCTTAAACTTGGATGCACCCAAAGGACATAACCTCCAAGTCACGGAGACGTTGGGCAAAAAGACAACGGAGTAAAACCCCCACACTGATCCAAAATATTTACATTACTTGGAATGACTTGGTCCTAACCCACTGTTCCTGTTCCACAAGAAAGGCAAAGTTGGCTTGAACAAGGGCAAAAAAGTAATCTTCAGTAAAAGATAGATTCTGACGTTTGGTGTTTTTTTTGCAAATGAGAATAAACTGGTGGGTATTCAATAGGTTTTGATACAGACACAGGGTGCCAGCGACGCACTTTGGCTCTCATCTAC